ATCCAGTGATGTGTTGCCATCCTATGATGTCTGAGTAGATTTTCGTTGTCCTATCGGTGGTTGATGAATTGCTATGATTGATTTAATTTGCTTGTGGTTATGTTGTTGTCCTTTGGTGCCCATCATATTAGCGCGCGCATGGATCACACCATAGGGTTAGTTGTATGTTGATAGGACTATGTATTGGAGGGCAAGAGTGACAGAAGCTTCAACATAGCATAGAAATTGATGCATACGGGATTGAAGGGGGACCAATATATCTAAATGCTATGGTTGGGTTTTACCTTAATGAACATTAGTAGTTGCGGATGCTTGCTAATAGTTCCAACCATAAGTGCATAGAATTCCAAGTAAGGGATGACATGCTAGCAGTTGCCTCTCCCACATAATACTTGCTATCGGTCTAGTAAAGTAGTCAATTGCTTAAGGGACAATTTTGCAACTCCTACCACCACTTTTCCACACTCGCTATATTTACTTTATTGTTTCTTAATCTAAACAGCCCCTACTTTTTATTTATGTACTCTTTATTATCTTGCAAACCTATCCAACAACACCTACAAAGTACTTCTAGTTTCATACTTGTTCTAGGTAAAGCGAACGTCAAGCGTGCGTAGAGTTGTATCGGTGGTCGATAGAACTTGAGGGAATATTTGTTCTACCTTTAGCTCCTCGTTGGGTTCGACACTCTTACTTATCGAAAACTGTTGCGATCCCCTATACTTGTGGGTTATCAGAGACTGTTGGAAATATGCCCTAGAGGCAATAATAAAATGGTTATTATTATATTTCCTTGTTCATGATAATTGTCTATTGTTCATGCTATAATTGTATTAACCGGAAACCATAATACATGTGTGAATACATAGACCACAACATGTCCCTAGTAAGCCTCTAGTTGACTAGCTGGTTGATCAATATATGGTTATGGTTTCCTGACCATGGACATTGGATGTCATTGATAACGGCATCACATCATTAGGAGAATAATGTGATGGACAAGACCCAATCTTAAGCGTAGCACAAGATCGTGTAGTTCGTTTGCTAAAGCTTTTCTAATGTCAAGTATCATTTCCTTAGACCATGAGATTGTGCAACTCCCGGATACCGTAGGAATGCTTTGGGGTACCAAACGTCACAACATAACTGGGTGGCTATAAAGGTGCACTACAGGTATCTCCGAAAGTGTCTGTTGGGTTGGCATGAATCGAGACTGGGATTTGCCACTCCGTATGACAGAGAGGTATCTCTGGGCCCACTCGGTAATGCATCATCATAATGAGCTCAATGTGACCAATGAGTTGGTCATGGGATCATGCATTACAGAACGAGTAAAGAGACTTGCCAGTAACGAGATTGAACGAGGTATGGGGATACCGGCGATCGAATCTCGGGCAAGTAACATACCGATAGGCAAAGGGAATTGCATACGGGATTGATTGATTCCTTGACATCGTTGTTCATCTGATGAGATCATTGTGGAACGTGTGGGAGCCAATATGGGTATCAAGATCCCGCTATTGGTTATTGGCCAGAGAGATGTCTCGGTCATGTGTGCATGGTTCCCGAACTCGTAGGGTCTACACACTTAAGGTTCGCTGACGCTAGAGTTGTTATGGGAAATAGTATGTGGTTACCGAAGGTTGTTCAGAGTCCCAGATGAGATCCCGGACGTGACAAGGAGTTCCGGAATGGTCCGAAGGTGAAGATCGATATATTGGACGAAGGGTATTGGAGTCCTGAATTGTTCCGGGGGTACCGGGTGACGACCAGCATGTCCGAAAGGGGTTTCGGAGGCCCCGGCAAGCGTTGGGGGCCTTATGGGCCAAGGGGGGCACATCAGCCCACTAAGGGGCTAAGTGCCCCTCCCACCCCATCTCACGTAACCTGGAGAGGTGAGGGCGCCTCCCCTAGGGCAGCCACCTCTCCCGGCTTGGGGGCAAGTTTCCTAGGGGTGGGGCGCCCAAACCCATCTAGGGTTTCCCCTGTGGCCGCCGCCCCTACCCTAGGGAAACCCTAGGGCGCCTCCTCCTCCCCCCTTCCCCCTATATATAGTGAGGGAGAGAGAGGGCAGCCGCACCCTCCCCTGGCGCAGCCCTCTCCCTCTCCTACACCTCCCCCTCCTCCGTAGCGCTTGGCGAAGACCTGCCGAAGAACCACGAGCTCCATCACCACTACGCCGTCGTGCTGCCGGAGTTCTCCCTCAACTTATCCTCTCCCCTTGCTGGATCAAGGAGGAGACGTCCCCGGGCTGTACGTGTGTTGAACGCGGAGGCGCCGTTGTTCGGCGCTTAGATCGGAATCGACCGCGATCTGAATCGCTGCGTGTACGAATCCACCAACCACGTTCTTGTAACGCTTCCGCTTAGCGATCTTCAAGGGTATGAAGATGCACTCCCTCTCTCTCTCGTTGCTAGTATCTCCTAGATTGATCTTGGTGACACGTAGGAAATTATTGCTACGTTCCCCAACAGTTCCATGAATATAATGGTGTCACCAGCATATTATAAGATGGAAACCCCACCATCCACCAAATGTGGAATAAGACCACCTACCTGGCCATCCTCTTTCGCTCTATTAATGAGAACGGCCAACCTATCAACGACAACATTAAAATGGATCGGGGCAATCGGGTCTCACTGTGTCAGTCCTCTTTGCGTCTAGAAGAAATGACCGATATCTTCATTAACCTTAATCCCAATGTTGCCTTCCTATACAAATGATTCGACCTGCTTCCTCCTAGCTTGATCAAACCCTTCCATACGCAAGGCTTGCTGTAAAAATGGCCATTTCACTTTGAAAACCATTCCGTCGAGTTTCTTCGAATGCATTTCCTCCAAGGTTCATGCAGTACGACCACTCCCTCAAGAATGTGTCGTCCCGACATAAAGGCAGTTTGGGTTGGTTGAACAACTGAATGAGCAATCTGTGGCAGGCGTCAATGAGTATAAATCTTGAAGCTTACATTCTGCAAACAAATCCGTCTGAATTGCTCAATGCGAGTCGCTTCATCCTTCTTTGATAACAAAGTAATTGTTCCAAACATCAATTTAAATAATTGTAAATGGCCATCAAACAGATCATGGAACATAGGCATCAGGTCGCCTTTAATAATATCCCGACACTTCTTATAAAATTCTATAGAGAAGTCATCCGGACCAGGTGCTTTGTTATTTTTCATCTGTGAAATAGCCTAGCAGTATCAAAATTTGTCTCGCGGGGCACTCACCTGCCAAGTCCTACCGCCCCCTCGTTTTGCCTCGCGATTTATGCAGTAGTTCAATCCCGTACAAGGAAACGGTAAAAAGGTAAATCCCTCGAAAGAATTTATTTTTCAACGATGAAACTTGTGATTCTTGCATCTAAAATTGTCAAGTTTCAACCAGTTTCAGAGATATAATTTAAAACAATTTTTTTGATCGGTCGTAAACACAAGATAATTGATTTTTATTGGGATTTAAAATTTTGTTTAAGAGATTTTCTTTTAAAGTCATCCAAACATATTCAAAATGGATCTGATTAATTTGGAAGATGTGGTCGTTTAATAAAATATATTAATGTTTGAAAATCGGAAGCCATAATAAAAAGCGGGCGCCCGGGGCATGTGTGCCCCCGCACTTGCGTGCCATAAATCTTCTCCCCTCTATGTATTACTCCCTGCGTCCCGTAATATAAGAGTGTTTTTGACACTGCACTAGTGTAAAAAGCGCTCTTATATTATGAGACGGAGGAAGTACCATTTATCTATGCATAATTTGTGCCACGTACCTAAAGGACAAAACTGGCTTAGCGGTGCTCTTATATCATGGATGAAAAAATTTCACAACAACGACCACACGCGCAGCTTAATCGGAGGTTTTCTGTGGGCTTGACTTGCATATGTAATTAACCGAACACTTTGCAAAAAGCACCGGAAATCAGCGGGCTACACGCAATCTCCAAGTCAAATATGCTATTAAGCATAGTGGCAGAAGGCAAAATAGGCAAACTCCCATGGGAGCATGTAAACATCCATGTATTTGTAATCTATACGATGATGAATGAAATACAGAGTTCACATAATTATTTCTGTGTTTGTCATTGTATTTTGTTTTCAAAACACATTGCACATGTGCATGTGAGTTTTCGAATGAATCACACATTCCAGGATCATATTAGTTATAGCATAGAATATAAACTCTTAATATGAACATACAAATATAATAAAAAAATATCATTGCCTCTAGTGCATATTTTCAACACCCAAAGCTTCTAGGGCCTTTTATCATTCAGAAAAAATCGTCAAAAAGTTTCATCGTGTTTGGATTACCGTAGTTATGGATTTTCTGAAAAACCAAAAGCGTGCAAAAACACCTGAACTGACACTGGGCACTAAATTAATATGTTAGTCCATAAAAATAATATAAAAGTCATATAAAACATAAAAAGTGATAATATAATAGCATTTAGCAATAAAAAATTATAGATAGGTTGGAGACGTATCATGTTTCCATGATAGCAATCTAGATATATTTTCTTATAGAAGTTTAAGTGCATGCTTTCTACTACCTCTTATGAGCTTACAATGCCTATCTACTCTATCTCAACCCAAATCCTTTTAATTTTGACCAAGTTATGGAGAAGATACTACTCACAGTTTGTTAGTGGGTGAGCTAGTTACTGCATCTGTTTCAAAATAGAACCATCTAGAAAGCATATATTTAAACCTTAATAACTTTTAAATAACTCTATAAAAGGTTCTCATAAATGCGCTTCTAAATGCCTAGTTGGATATGCATCCAGTTGATTAACTTTTAAATAACCCTACAAAAGGTTCTCATAAATGCGCTTCTAAATGCTTAGTTGGATAAGTATGCAATTAATATTTGCCTCTTACAACTATGTCTATTTAACCACCCCTATCTAGCTTGTTTTTCCATCCACTCAATCACATCACCGATTCACCAAAGTCCCACATAACTATCTCAATATCTAAAATCCCATTAAGCAATCCAATAGCCATGAGGACATCGAGCTTCCTTCTCATCGTTGCTGCCGCATTCCTCTACGCCATCGCCTCACCCGCCACGGGCTGTGGGGAATGGATGGGCAACCAATTGCGGAACACAACAATAGAGAATGGATTGGAACCAATCAGAAACATCAACGACCAACGCATCCAGGTGCTCGGCAATTGGGCAGTGTTGGAGTTCGGAAAGTACACAAATTGTGTGCTCAAGTTCAACAAGGTGGTGAGTGGCAGACAACAACATGCATTTTTATTGTACTACAAACTCATCATCGATGCATCGGACGTCCGCGGGGTAGACGGCAAGTACAAGGCAAGGGTGCTCGTGCAGGAGGGGGTTCACAGACCCCATCTCTTCTCCTTTGCCAAGGTGAACTAGGCGGGTGGCAGTAACAACAATAGTTATAATTGTGATGTTGCAAATATGTTTGCTGGGTTTCTAATCGAATAATAAATATTCCTGTTGCATTGCCATGCATTTTGGAACATATCAAATTGCATTAAAAAAATCTGCAACTTGACTATGATAAGACCAGATGTTCTTTTTACAGGACAACATGATTAAGCTTTCCCATATAAATTTGCAGGTAGCATTTGCGTGCGACAATGAACACATCTGTTATCTTTTCTTTTTGAATGACCATGACAAAATACATTTTTGGCGTGCAGGAGCATATACTCCCTGAGCCAAAAGCAATACCTGTGAAAGATGATCTTATATTGTGGGATGGAGGGAGTATAACTTTAGCGCTATTAGTTGCAAAAAAGTAACAAGTCTGATTAGTTGTTGGATCGCCAGCATACTGGAATAACAAAAAGGTACCATTCGCAGATCAATACCGCATACTATATGTCATCACCCATGGCGCACCTAGGCCAAATCACCATCTACCAATGCAGAGATAACTTTATCCCAGGCTTTGTACCTAGCTAAATAGGAGATCACGTGGGGAGAGGAACGCCAATCTGAACAGACGGCGGGAAGCGACCATAGTCTAGCAGGTCGTCTAGGTCCCCGGTCAAGCACCCGCCATCCGACAAGGCGCACCAAATCTTCGTGCAGGGTTGCCTATGGAGGAGTGTGGTCGGAGCTAGTTGTGGCGAAGGGCTCTCGCGACTCGCCAACGACAGCATTGATTGTATCTGACGCAAATATTTTAGATCGATCTGGGTTTTTCTCTCTCTTTGATTTTGAGAAGGCTAGATCGATCTGGTTATTACACTTGCATAAGGAACTTGCGTCCTCGGGGGATCAGTGAATCAAGTGGAATCAACTCGGCCACGAGCC